GCTGTCCTGATCAGTGAGCTGGTCGCTCTGGAAATCCCCCAGCAGCACGGTGAACAGCGCAGCCGAGTAAACCCGGGGGCTGCGCTCGCTCGCCTGGCGCAGACCCGCCACCGCCAGTACGAAACCGCCGTACACCAGTGCGATCAGCAGGAAGAAGTACCTGCGGGGTGGGGGTGGGGGTGTGGGTTGGGGCGGGAGGGGGTTTACCTGTGGGGAGGTGCGGTTAGAGAAGATAGCCCTCCCACTTGCCTTGGGTACTGCCTGGTGGTGGTGGGGGGGGGTGGGATGGTGGGATGGTGGGATGGTGGGGCGCGGTGGTGGTAACACCGAAATCCCTTTATTGGTTCCACCATCCGTCCTCCCGAAGTAGATAGATCTCCCACATGTTTTCCAGCAAGCCAAGTCACTTCACTTGTCCACCAACCAACCAACCAACCAACCAACCACCCAACCGCCCACCTAGAATCGTTCAGGATTTCCAGAAGCGCCAGCACCGCCGTGCTCAGCTTGTCCGTCACCAGTCCGAACAACGTCAGCCGTGCCACGAACAGCAGCATGGTCAGGCCGCTCAGGGCGGGCACCAGATTGGCCCCCTGGCTACTCCACACGATCACCGCCACGGTCCACACCATGCCATGGCAGCACAGCTCCAAATGCCGCCCGAAAGACGCCCAGGTGGCGAGCTGGGGGACACGGGCCTCCAGGAGCTGCACGGGCGACGGAGGGAAGCGGGGAAGGGGCGGGAGAGGAGCAGACGGGAGAGGAGTCGTCTGTGCAGTATGGCAGTAGCTACATGCAGCTGACAGCGTTGAATGGACACCAGGACAAGTAATCAGGAGAGGGAGGGAGGAGAGGGAGGGAGGAGAGGGAGGGAGGTTGAGAAACGACAGCAAATACTGTATGTAGATCTCGAACCGTAGGCGGCAATGCGAGCTAGGCACCGCAGTGCCCCCCTCCCCCCCTCAGCCGCATGCCTCACCCGCTCCAGCAGCATGCTCGCACTGAGCAGCACACTGGCGCTGAGGCTGACCTCCACACAGGACTTGTGCACCAGCGGCCGCACCGGCGACTTGACGCCCCCTCGGCCCTCGTCGTCGTCGGTCTCGCAGNNAAGCACCAGCAGAAAGAAGACCAGGAAGCAGGCNGCGAACANG